CCCCCCCCGTGCTTGGGACCCCGACGACACCCGAACCAATGAAAGGTGCGAAATTTGCGGCGCAAGTACCAGGAGGCCAAGCCTCCTGCGAACGCTGGCTTGTCATCTCAAACGCCTTCAGTGGTAGCACCGCCAGAGACGCCACGACATATACAACCGTTGCCGCCGCCGCCGCCGCCGCCGCCACCACCGCTACCACGGGAGAGCAGCCCGGAGCCTTTCGGGCTAGGGGCGTCACCCTCGCTGCCCCTCGCGGCCTCCTCCCCGAGTGCTTTCGTTCGCGATAGCCCGCACGGAGTCCGCTTAAGCTCAGCAGGTGTGTGTGTGTGTGTATGTGTATGTGTGTGTGTGTGTGTGTTTATTGTTGTCATGGACCGCGATAATCGGTTGACCCATAAAGGGGGTCAGCCTTAGAGCGACTTAAAACAGGGAACGCTTCTGAAGGCCATGGTCTGGGGCCCCGTGACGGGGGGTCGCTGCCCCTCGCGGCCTCCTCCCCGAGTGCTTTCGTTCGCGATAGCCCGCACGGAGTCCGCTTAAGCTCAGCAGGTGTGTGTGTGTGTGTATGTGTATGTGTGTGTGTGTGTGTGTTTATTGTTGTCATGGACCGCGATAATCGGTTGACCCATAAAGGGGGTCAGCCTTAGAGCGACTTAAAACAGGGAACGCTTCTGAAGGCCATGGTCTGGGGCCCCGTGACGGGGGGTCGCGGGGGCGGCAAGGCTTGTGTCCGGATTGACGGAACGGGTTGCTGTGTGTGCAATGGTGGTGTTGTGGTTTTGGAGTTCGCACAGGACAGGCAACAGGCGCTTCACGTAGAATAGCTCCGTTCTGTGGGCAAGCATTACAACAGTCGCCCAGGGGCGACTTCGAATATCTCGCCGTTCGCCGATGCCTGTAGTTGTGGGCAGGGGAGCTACAAAAGCTCACCTGTGTGCATCATTTTTTAATTTCTCCCACTACTGTCGCTGTGCATGCTTCCTGTGCGAAGGGCGGGCTTGCTTGAGAGGTGCTTTGCCAGCGCCCCTTGGCCCCCCCTGCCTGTTGGGTGGTTTTGGTAGGAAAAATGGCGGTGGTTCACACTAGCAATCCCACGTTTCCCGTGTACATTCCTTGTAGAAATACGTGCGTACGCTACCGTTCTCGCAATCGCCGGCTGGCCCCCTACCCCCCCAACCTGCAGCATCCTCACCACCACAAACAAAAGCACCCGGCGCGAGAGCTCGCTCGAACGGGGAAGCTTCCAACCCCAGCCTGGAGGCGAGCAGGCACGCCGATTGCATGGCCTTCGCCAAGGAGCTGGCCTCGGCGTGCTCGGAGATAAAGAGCCGCGATGCCATGTACCGTGTCATCGCGCACGCGAGGGTGGCCGCGCTGAACGCCATCCAGGTGGAGTTACAGTGCCAGGGCCGTCGCGCCGCCGGGGCCAGCTGGGCATGAGGAGCGGCCAACGCCTCGCCGCCGTCGCGCATGAAAGAGTATTGCATGTGTCTGTTGTAATGTTCTGACCCTTTTTTTTTTTATTTGTGGTCAAAGCCACCTTTCCCAAGTATTACTTAACGGCTCTACTTCTGTACAATTGCTGGTGTTGATTTTGTTCTTCTATCAAAAAAAATCTAGTCCAGTAGTAACCTCACTTGTTTGGTGGAGCGGGGAGGGGGGGGGGGCAAGGGAGTACGTGGCTCGTGACAGCGTTTTTGCAGCAGAAGGAAATGCACAAGCCTTGCGATGGCCGAGGGATCTCGTGCCTGCTACTTTGTATGCTCGGGGTAGCAGTAGCAGCGGAGAGGTGCACTCATTGGCGATGACGCGGCCTGAGCGGTGTACTCTTGTGCTGCGTCGGCGTGTACGCCCGTACCACGTGTGGGCCTTCTCCCGCTGTTGTCGTGAGGCATGGCAAACTGCCGGGGCATGATATGCCACCCAAGCCCCTCCCCTCCGAGGAGGCATGTGGCGCAACGTGCCAAGGGCACACCGTGGGGCCATCGGTCTTGCCAACGTTGGAAACGTAGCAAAGCATCAGGCAACTGATAGTTTAACAATATTGCAGGGAAGAACAGAGCGTGGTACATGTTTTTTCGGAACTTTTGAGGGTTGCGCGTGTTTTTCAGTCCGGGGCGTTTCTAGCAGTAGGGTGGCGTTGGCTTCCAGTACACCAGAAGCATAGAAGAGAACGAACGTTGCATCAGCCGATCGTTTTTTTTGTCTTCAAAACTGGGCACGCCTGGGCCCATCCAGTACGAGCTTGAGGCGCGTCGAGAGCAGAATGGCTGGCGGTACGAGGGCGTGGGGTCGGAGCGTCGTCGTTCTCGTCCATCGGTGTAGGCATGTCGATTCGTCAGATACCGTTCTTGTCGTGATACTTATTGTGTACCTGCATCGTGGAAGACCCCTTCAATGTGGAACGATTCCTAGTCAGTGTCGATGTTTACACTGCTGTGCCTAACACAGATGATCTGGATAGATTCGGGTGATCGTCAATTGCAATGATGGCTTTGGTTGGGTGTTCTTCTTCATTGTATGTCCACGGACTCATTCTGGCAGCACTTCAGACAGCAGCCGCATGCCCCGAGCTTGTGTACCATGCACCATGGTGTTATTATTGTACAGACAACACTTCAGACAGCAACAGTACGCTGTAGTCGACGTTCCATTTGGTTAAATGCGGGACAAGGGGGGTGATGCTGCTGCTGTAGTCGGTATGTAGTGTGTGGGCGTGTAGTTCAGTTGTGAGCATGCAAACGTGCTGCAGGGATTGCAGGTGTACCTCCTCGGGCTTGCGTACCCTTTTCTTGCTAATAGTGTGTGTTCTTTAGATCTTCTGATGGCTCTAGCATTTCTGTGACCACGGACCGAGTCTCTGCTAGATTTTGGGATTAGCAACTGACACGAGTTTAATGTGAAGAAAAACAACAACAAACAACATCTTATTCCACGTGCGATGCAGGGTGCTTTCCTACCTGTAGTCTACGCACTTTTTTTCGATGGTTGTGCATACGTGTTGTGTAATCAAAGTTTGGTTCGTAGCGATAGAACGCTGACGGCGGCTGTGTGCATTCGCATGGCAAGGTGTACACAACGACGACGTGCACCACATAACGTTGGTATGTTTGCATTTGATTTGTGAAACAAAGTCACTACACCTGTGCTGTAGAACCGCTGCTTGGATGTCTGCGGCCGCTGTGATAACTAGGTGGCTTTGTCGTGGACTGCTGTGTGGCGCCCAACGTGTCTTCGGGCCTTGTGTACATTTTACGCTGCCGAAACCTTTGCGTGTTTTTATTTGGCCGTGTTTTGGATCACCACAAGATCAATACGATAGGTTCAGAGGGTCAGACTAGGGGGGGTCTCGCCGGGGTGGGTGGGTGTAGCTCAAACAAAAAGGAGGATGCTTGACTGGAGAGTCCGAGAATTTTCTCACACCATCTTCCATCTGGTCAGGACACTTTTCGAAATCAGAGTCAATTCCAGAAACAGTTAGCGACGACTGGGAATGCCCGGGTCTTTTCGAGACACCGTAGGGTGAAGTGGGCGTCGATCAATAAGCTAGTCTCATTCCATGCTGATTAGAAGGTTGTACTCGGATGAGTCGCTTTTTAAGCAGGGTATGTCCTGTTGTGTCGTTTATCGTTTTTTGTTTTTTTGTACCGCCATAAAAGCGCGATCTCAGGACCCTTCAAAAGGTCAAACCCGTTTCATTTTCGTGTTTTCTGTGGTGAGATAGTATTGTTTTTTTATCACATGGGAGGCCGGCTGCGACAGCACATGCAGCATCATCGAACGAGCGCTGTCGATTGCCCTGCCCGGCAGGCAGCGACTGGCTACTTGAGGTTTGAGGGGTTTACCCCCACTCAGACTGGACTTGTCACATGTCATGTTCAAATCCGAATAGGATTGGTTCCAGGTACATAACGGCAAAAGTAAAACCTAAATGATTTCGTGGCACCGGTTTTTTTAAACGAGATTTTCGACCGCGGCCGATTTCTCTCGGCTAGCGAAGGCTACTTACTGTACGACCACGAAATCGCGTCGGTGCTTTCGCGCGACCTACGCCTCAAGGGCCCTTACTACCTCCCCCCCCCCCTT